GGGTTCTTCACTGTGAGGGTGGTGGAGCACTGGAACAGGTTGCCCAGGGAGGTGGTTGAGGCCCCTTCCCTGGAGATATTCAAGGAGAGGCTCGACGAGGCCCTGGGCAACCTGGTCTAGTTGGGGGTGTCCCTGCTGACTGCGGGGAGGTGGGACTAGATGACCTTTGGAGGTCCCTTCCAGCCTGGACAACTCTATGACTCTATGAATTGTTAGGGGGTGACAGGGGGTTGGACTGACAGAGGGGGGATACCATCTCCCCCGAGGGGTACCACCACCCTGGACAATTCTATGATTCTATGAATTGTTGGGGGATGACAGGGGGTTGATGCTGACAGAGGGGGATACCATTCCTCCCAAGGGGTACCACCAGCCTGGGATGGAGATGGGACCCCCATTTTTGGGGTGTCGCCACGGCTCCTTCCAGCATCCCCTCCCCACCCCCTGATGTGTGTGTCCCCCCAAAAAAAACCCCAAAGGAACACTGGGGTGAGTCAGGATGGGGTCACCCACCTCCGTACTGGTGGCCGTAGTGGCCAGAGCTGATGTAGGCCGTCTGGTGGGAGTCCAGGGGCACCGTCTGGTAGTAGTCATCATCGTAGGGGTCGTAGACGTGCACCTGGGAGCGGTGGGAGCGCGGTGTGAGGCTGGTGCCAGGACCACGGGGGCCACATGGGGCACAGTGGACACCCCCCAAGTGTGGCCACACCAGTGCTGTGCCTCAGTTTCCCCCCCCGTGTGATGGGGACAGGGGTGCTTTGGGTTCTCCTCTCACCTTAGCTATGTCCCATCACCCCAACTCTTCCCTTAACCATGTCCCTCATCACCCTGTTTCTCCTCCCACCGTAACTCTGCCCCAAGCGATGGGACAAGAGGGAACGGCATCAAGTTGTGCCTGAGAAGGTTGAGGATGGAGATTGGGAACAACTTCTTCACCAAAAGGGTTGTGAAGCCTTGGAAGGGGCTGCCCAGGGCAGTGGTGGAGTCTCCATCCCTGGAGGGATTTCAAAGCCGGGTAGATGTGGTGCTGAGGGACATGGTTCAGTGGTGGGTTTGTCAGTGTTGGGTTGATGGTTGGACTCCATGATTTGAAAGGTCCCTTCCAACCTCCACCGTTCCATGTTCTCCCCAACCTTAACTTCTGCCCCCGTCACCTTAACTCTGTCCCCATCATCTCACCCCCAGCTCCTTCATCTTCCGTTGGTGCCATCACCAACAGACACCCCTTCTCCACCTTCTACCCCTTCTCCCTCCAGGGGGGACTTTACTCCCTGCTCCCCAGGGTTCCCTGATGGGTGTAAGGTCTTGGGGGGGACCACCCAGAGCTCAGCACCAACCCTGGGGGGACACTCAGGTTGGTGTAACCTCCACCTGCTCCCACCCAACATTTTTTGGTGATGGTTGGACTCCATGATTTGAAAGGTCCCTTCCAACCTCCACCGTTCCATGTTCTCCCCAACCTTAACTTCTGCCCCCGTCACCTTAACTCTGTCCCCATCATCTCACCCCCAGCTCCTTCATCTTCCGTTGGTGCCATCACCAGCAGACACCCCTTCTCCACCTTCTACCCCTTCTCCCTCCAGGGGGGACTTTACTCCCTGCTCCCCAGGGTTCCCTGATGGGTATAAGGTCTTGGGGGGGACCACCCAGAGCTCAGCACCAACCCTGGGGGGACACTCAGGTTGGTGTAACCTCCACCTGCTCCCACCCAACATTTTTTGGGGGGGATGAAGCCTCACCGGGGTGGCTTTAGCCTCCAGCACGGCCATCTTCAAAGCGCTGCAAACAAAACAGAGGGACACGATTTTGGGGGGCGCTGGGGGGTTGAGAATTGTCCCCGTGGGGCCACCCAGTCACACGTGTCCCCCTTTCCCCCCCCAGTGACCTGGATGTGGGGTAATAGGTGGGGATGGGAAGGTGCTGGGAGGTTCTCAGTGCCACGGGGATGGGTTGGGCCTGAATGCTCCCCCTGGGAATGACCCCAGCTAAAATAAGGACAATGACATCTAAATTGGGGAAAAAAAGCAGGTAATGGGTGAATTTCCAATCAACTGGGGTCAAGCTCAATTGCTCGAGCTCAGCTTGGCCACGGCTGAACATCCTCCTCCATCTAAGGGAGATGTTCTCCCTCCATCTCCCCCAGCTGAGGGTTTCCCACTTTGTATTCGTGGTGGTTTCTTTTCTATAAGTGTTTTAATTTTTTATAAAGATAATTTTTTTCATTTTTTTAAATAGAAATACAAGGGGAACAGGGCAAAAAGTGGGTGTTGCCTCCTGCTGGGCATGGCCTTAAGCCAACAAGGACTTTGCTTTCAGGCTGTTTATTGCCAAATATCGATGAAAACCCTTCCCCGGTGATTTTCGGTCAGACCAAGAGGTGATTTCTCATCCGGGAGGGAAACCCCTCCCCCCCCAGGACATCACCTGCTTAAAAATAGCTACTTTTGGCTCCGAATTATTCAGCAGGAAGCCCAAATTTTCACCTGTACCCTGGGAGGGAACGCGGTGTTTTAGCTACTTTTGGCTCCGAATTATTCAGCAGGAAGCCCAAATTTTCACCTGTACCCTGGGAGGGAACGTGGTGTTTGAGAAAACAAGGGTCCTGTGGGGTTTTAGATGCGGTGGGAGCAGGATGGAGCTCTCTCATGGCCGAATCCCCCTCCAGGCTCGGATAATTGGGATGAAAAAGCCACCAAAGGGGGAATTTTGGTGCCTCTGTGGTGGGATTTGGTCTTACATGGCGTCGTCCTGGCTCTCGGCGCAGAGCGTGGTCTTGGAGCCGTCCCGCAGCACGAGGGTCAGCAGGCACTCCCGGCCCTTCCCCTCGGGAGGCTGCACGTCTGCCAACGGAAAGGGCAGGATCCAGCCTCCAAATCCCCCCAAAAACTCCCCCCCATCCACCCACGGACCCTCCCGGGAGAGGATCGGGCTCCAAATGACCCCTGAAAGCAGCAGCCTCCCCGGATACAAGCGTTGAAAAGCTGCTGGGACACCACGCTCATGACCCCTGAAAGCAGCAGCCTCCCCGGATGCAAGCGTTGAAAAGCTGCTGGGACACTGTGCGTTTAATTTGGGTTTAATTTGGGTTTAATTTGGGTTTAATTTGGGTTTAATTTGGGTTTAATTTGGGTTTAATTTGGGTTTAATTTGGGTTTAATTTGGGTTTAATTTGGGTTTAATTTGGGTTTAATTTGGGTTTAATTTGGGTTTAATTTGGGTTTAATTTGGGTTTAATTTGGGTTTAATTCAGGTTTAATTCGGGTTTAATTCGGGTTTAATTCGGGTTTAATTCGGGTTTAATTCGGGTTTAATTCGGGTTTAATTCGGGTTTGATTTGGGTTTGATTTGGGTTTGATTTGGGTTTGATTTGGGTTTGATTTGGGTTTGATTTGGGTTTATCTCGTCGGCTCCGCTTACAAATTACCATCAGACTCTCCAAGGTTAAAAGCCAACCAAGAGCTGACGAGGAGAAACTTCCACCCCCGCGGCAGCAAGAAAGTTGGAAAGGGAGCAAATTGCCAAAAAAAATCCAAAAGGTCGAGCTGGGTTTGCTTGGAATTCACCAGATTCCAGCGAGGACCCCAATTCTGTAGAAATACCAGATTCTGGGCTTGGATCCGGAGCCGGATCACGAGCAAAAACGAAAATCTGAAATTCCCTGAGGATTTTGCATCTTTCCCTGTTCTCAAAACTCCTGGGGACCCTCCGGGGGGGATAAAGCTCTGGAGTTCATGCCCCCACCCTGGCATCTCGCCGCTGCCACCCGAAAAAGGCTCTTTGTGCTGTGGCCGTGGGCTGAGGCTGCTGCTTTTGTTCCCCCTTGTTTGTGCGAGACGAGGAGGGATGAGTCAGGGCCGTGGGATTGTGTTTTGGAAGGAGCACGAAGCAGGAGGGGGGGGGTTTCCCCAAAGCCTTCCCCAGGGAAGAGGCGCCGTGTATCTCCTGGGGGGACATCCCGGCGCTGGGTGGGAGCCCGGGGTATGGAGGTTCATGAGGTTCAACAAGAGCAAATGGAAGGTTCTGCACCTGGGCTGGGACAATCCTCCCCATCAGTACAGACTGGGGGGTGAGGGATTGGAAAACAGCCCTGAGGAAAGGGACTTGGGGGTGCTGGTGGAGGAGAAGCTGGACATGAGCAGGCAGTGGGCACTTGCAGCCCAGAAGGCCAATCCCATCCTGGGCTGCATCAAAAGATGCGTTGCCAGCAGGTCCAGAGAGGGGATTCTGCCACTTGACTCTGCTCTGGTGAGACCTCACCTGGAGTATTGTGTGCAGGTCTGGAGCCCTCAATAGAAGAAGGACATGGACCTGATGGAGAGGGTCCAGAGGAGGGCCACAAGGATGATCAGGGGGATGAAGCACCTCTGCTACGAGGACAGGCTGAGGGAGCTGGGGTTGGTCAGCCTGGAGAAGAGGAGGCTCCAGGGAGACCTTGGAGCCCCTTCCAGTACCTGAAGGGAGCCTACAGGAAGGCTGGGGA